GCCAAGGCTGAAGCTCAGGCCCAGTGTGTCCACCTGGAACTCATCGTCGAACAGATGAAGGCAGACGCCAAAAAGGAGGCGGTGAGGATGAACGTTTCCATGACAGGCCTTCATTTCAATTATTTTAGAAGATGACTTTCGTTTACGACTTAGCCGATCAGTCTTTTACTGGCCAGTTTCGACTCCTACCCTATTTTCATGCAGTCTTTTTAATTGTACTCTTCTTCTTCTTCTCCCGTCATTGTAAAAACAGTCCAAATCGGAGGAGGAAGCGAGCACAGACCCGGCTGTTGTAGCAGAGCTGCAGAGAGAGGTGGAGGACCTGAAGCTGCGGCTGCTCATGGCTGCAGAGCACTACAAGGAGAAGTACAAGGAATGCCAGCGACTGCAAAAACAAGTCCTCAAACTGTCTGAACAGCAGGGGGTAGGTTCCAGCAGACACCAGCCGCCAAGCTTCATCCATAAACCGAACTTACATTAGATGTTATGTTGCGCTCTGGCTGGTTTTAACATTCATTTGTGTTGCTGTTCATAGGAAGTGAAGAAAAGCACAGCACAGGAGGCCGCCGCAATCCCGGCATCGGGGAGTCCAGACACATCGGTGCCGGGTATTTATGTCCAGTTCCGTCTGGTTATATGGGAGAAGTAGATGGTTTTATCATAGAAACTTTAAATGTCTTAGAAAAGGCCACAGTAGCTTACTGTCGTTGTTTATGTCCTTTGATTTTTCTCCCCTTTTCAGTCAGTTTATTTTAAACCATGATAAATGAGAAGATCTACATATTTTGGTTGCATTCTCGTCTCTACAGGCAGCCCGGGTTCTGCTGACCCCATGTTGGAGGCCATCATCCAAGAGAAGCTCAAAGGCATCAGCAGAGAAGCTTCAGACAGAAACGACAAATACAGGAAATGCAAGCAGATGCTGATGGTAAGCAATGTGTCTGCATTCTGCGCAAAACATGCAATGGTCCTCTAATCCCGAGAGGACAAAGTGTGATGAAAACAGGGTGATGAGTGTCTGTTGCCTTTTAGGAGGAAAAGGAGCGCAGCAGCTTGTTCGCAGACGAGCTGGCCAAGACGGAGCTGAAATTAAAGGAGCAGCTGAAGACCAACGAGAGTCTAAAGTTGCAGCTGGCTGCTGCAGAGGACCGTTATAAGGTCAGGCTTCGAGCGCGGCGCTGGTGCCTTCAAAGCAGTTCGGTCTTCAGACTCGACTGTTTTTATCGGCGTCCATGGCTGGTCTTGCTCAAGGATCGAGACTTTGATGCTTTCTTTCCCCCCCCTGAACATAGTTGTTCTGACAGTGTTGTTTATGAGCCGGCCTGTCTGTTAGACGGCGTTTTACTGCTGTTTATGTCAGGCTCTGGAGACAAGCGAGGTTTGGCTCGGAGGAATCCTTTTTAGTCGCGCTGCTAATGCTGCGTTTGGCTCGGGTCAGGCGGATATTTGCTTAGTGTCTCAGGAGAATCCCAGCAGGTTGTTTTGCTTTGAGGAGTATCGAACGTAAATCAGGCCGTGGCCAAAGGAAGCCGTTTATGCTTGTGATCAATTAATGTCACATACCGAAGCCTGCCTGTATTTCAGCGAGACATTTTTCAGTCAGGAGCGCATTAAGTGTAAGAAAAGATGGTCTTTTCATTCCTCTTGGTTTTGTGTCCATTGTTTACCTCAGAGTCAAGTAGCTGAGAAGGGTCGGGAGCTGAAGGAGCTGAGGGACACGTTTGCACTCGTTGTGAAGGAGAAGGAAAAACTGGAGGGGGTTAGTAACAGCTTTCATTTTCTCTTTTATAGACTCCCGCCACTCCAAACATTCCCTAAAATATACAATTTTCTCTCTGCCATTTTGTCTGGGTTTAAAATACCACTAATTGCAGAAGCAAATAAAATGCTGTCTGTTTCATTGCTTTGCTCCACAGTAAGGTCCTGGCAGGGCTAATACTTCTAATGCCGGTACAGTTCAAAGAGGTGGGATTACCCCATTTGAGGTTGACTGTCAATTAGCTTGACCTCATTAATTACAAAACTTTTTTTATATATAAGCTGCTAACTAAGCTTTGCTTTGAAGAAGAAGAAAAAAAAAAGGTCCCTTGTATCATATTCCCAAAACAGCTTGGTGGCTTCTGAGCATAAACTAAAAATGACACATCACTATTGCTTTCTTGGTGCAAAATAGTTTAAATTCTGCTCTTGTTTTCCCTAGGAGCTCCAGAAGAGCAGCAGCAAGAAGGGCGATCAAGGGGCCAGTGAGAAAACCAGTTTGGAGAACCTTCAGACCAGTGTGCCTTTAATTCTTCAGTACCCCGTCCCTTACGCCCAGGACACCCCGACCCCACTGCTGGTCTCTCAGAGTCCAAGCAAACTACACTTTGGGAACCCTTATTCCATCTCAGACTCAAAAGGTGAATGTTTCTTTAAAAAAAAAAAAAAAAAAAAATTATGTAGGATTGATTTTTTTAAAGTGGTTGAATTATGTCTGCAGATGAGACAGAGGAGGAGTTCTCCGATGATCAGCCTCTGAAGCTGCCCCCCGTCGGCCCACCCTCCTGGGACAGCAACGTGGTCTGCATCCAGCCCTCCCGCAACCTCAGCCGGCCAGAGGGACACGAAGAGACAGAGGAAAACAACAATGTGAGCGCCTTGTCTGTTTTAGCCACGCAATACCGCCTTGTCAGGATTCACATGAAAAGCAGAGGTCCAAGTCCTCTGCATGGCACGTTAGGTCAAAAACCTAATTCATATTTCATCCCAGTAGTTTCCCACCACACTTGCAAATATGTACTTTGTGTTATTGAGGTTTGTAGCTGTAATATGTGTTGTAGGATTTTATGGAATAAACCAAGCCAAAATGATAAATGGCAGTGAAGAGGAAGGAAAGTGACACAGTGTTAGTTTCTTTCCAGCTGTTGAAAGAAAACCCGCAAAAAGATGTTGTAGTTTGGTGCAAGTTTTGGAAGAGCCTCAGCAAACTGATGGAATTTGGTGAGATGAGACCAAAAGATAAAACATATTTGCCTAAAAGCAAGGCAAGTTTAAATGTGTAGCATGTGGCAGCAACAAGGCAACTCAAAGAGCTTTAGATGATCAAAACATAACATTGTAGAAGCAGAATAAAGGAAATGAATGAAAAAGTTGGAATATTGACTGCAGTTGATGATGTTCCGGTTATTATTGAGTTGAGGGTGACTTAATAAAAGTCCAGATCTATATTTGTCTGAGAATGTTTGGCAAAAGTTGAAAAACAACATTCACAGCTGGTCTCTTGGCAGAACTCAGGCTGTAAGTTTGAGCCATTTTACAAAGAGGAATTCACAAAAACTCGAGACATTCCTTAAAAAACTTGATGCGGTGATTTTGAGGAGAAATGACTGGCTCGAGTGGACCGACTGAAAAGCATGTATCTTTTATTTTTTTCTCCTTTAGAAATGCGAACTGCTCCATGTTGGTTTCTTGTAAAACATCCTAACAGTAGTTTGTGGCTGAAACATGACGCAAAGTTAACAAGTTGGCAACGTTGGAAGTGACTCCAGTGTCCAGCGGTTATTTTGTAGGCATGTTATTTATCGCTGTTGATGGTCTCTTTTCATATTTATGTTTTTGTTTTTTTTTTGCCCCTCCAAGGTTAACACCAACGAACAGCCGCTAGGAACAGAAACACGCGGCTCATTTGTGAATGACGGACAAACCCCTTTCTGCTTTGACTCCAGGTAACAAACCTTCCCCCGCTAAGCTTTAGTGTTAGCCATGCACTAGCCTCACTCGGCTTCTGCGACATAGCCGCCCTTTTTGTTACTGTTGTCGATGAGCAGGCCACCCACGCTGCGGCAAACACACGTTCCTCATTAGCCGGCGCTCCTGTTTGTTGCTCGACTTCCATTAACACGAGCGCTCTCTTCCTCTCCTGCTTCTTCCGCTGTCTTTTTTATTGTCCTGCCCCTCTCCCCCGCAGCATGGACATGAAACGCTGTCCGCTCTGCGAGGTCATCTTCCCGCCCAACTACGACCAGAGCAAGTTCGAGGAACACGTGGAGAGCCACTGGAAGATCTGCCCCATGTGCAGCGAGCAGTTCCCCCTGGACTGCGACCAGAAGGTGTTCGAGAACCACGTGCTCACTCACTTCGACGGGCACCCGCTCAACTTCGACTGAAGAACCCGAAAACCGACGGAGTCTGCAGACTTTCTGCCATCCACTGAAAACGAATCACTTTCAGCTCTCTTCTGCATGTGGTGGTGTTCGGCTCCTCTCCGTAGAGCTATCCTAACTTTTGCTTTCTTTTAACTTTGAGATCCACTCGGAGGTGACGTTTGAAAAAAAAATTACAAAGTTATTATTTAGCGTGTATCACAGGGCTTTTAAATCAGTTGCGAATTAATAGTTTTTTGGATTACAGTTTTAAATGTTTCCCTTCTTTTCGGATTTGGAAAGAGGAGACTGTTCTACCTTATAATTCTTCTGATTTTGAACGGACATGGGTTTTCTCAGATCTGTAACGCTGCAGGATGTAACGAGTCAGGGAAAAAGAGACGTGTTTACCAAACCTACATTTAACACATGCGAACACATGCTTCCCCCCTTCATTTTTGCTGTACAGGTCATCGGTCAGCCGTCATAGAAAGCAGCCTCGGTGCACTATATTCAGTCAGGGAGAAATCTTAAGTAACTGTACCCATACAAGAATATACAGTATATCATCAGATCATCTATTTTAGAAAAATTTAAGGCAATATTGTGACCGCCTTAATACTTTGTGTAATATGTAGATTTTATTTAGCTAGGCTTCCTTTTTTTCTTTTGTTTTGTTCTGATTCTCTTGTTTTCAAATCTACAGCTAATCAGTGCATGCTCAGCATTTGTTCATTTTCCTTCTTTCTGTTTTCAGCTATTACGTTATTTCATTCATTAAGATGTTTCATTAGTTGAGTGAGTTTCATGTATCTAAATAAACTAATAAAATGACTTTGAAATTGCACCGTCTCATAATTAATGAGCGGGAGTCGGAGGAACAGGTGAACTTTTATTGTAAAATATACCAAGTTTTCATGAAGCAGCAGAAATACAGTACATATGCTTTTTTTGTTTTGTTTTGTTTGCTTTACAAAAACACAAAAATAAATGTAACACTTTAAAGGGTGATGATACATTCACTGTATACTATTTATATACTGACAGCACTACAGCACAGCCGCAGTTCTTTCATATGTTACAGATCTCTCATTCTTATTGAGGATGTGCAGATTTGAATCCAGTGGCACCAAGAAGGTGTGGACGCACAGCACAAACCGAATGGCAATTTAGTCACACCGTCCCATACAAAAATAGAAATGTTCAGAAATGACGGCATGGTTGGATGAACGCGTAGGGTGACTGTCGGCAGACAGCTCAGCAGCACGAACAAATGCTTTCACCTCAAGAAAACGAGGAAAATACGAAACGCTTTCCAAAAACGGCAGCTCCTTTGAGGCCGCGCTCATTCAGGAAGGAGAGTGCTGAAGTGATAACCTGTCCTGGAAATGAAAGACATGAAGGGAAGGAGACCTTCTGAGCTTGTTGGAAGAGCACAGCTCCAAAGCCAGTGTCAGAGGGTTCGTTAGTTCACTCTGAAGGCAAAGTCATGCTAGACTAAACGGAAGTTTAGTGTAGCCCTTGTTCACTCATAATTTTCTTCTACCGAGATTAATTTTTTTTTTACTCTTTCAAAACGGTTCAAAGCAATTGCTTGAGTTATTCTGTTTCGGTCTTCAGCTTGTGTCAGGTTGTGTGTAGAGATTAGTTTTCCTAAAAACCATATAATTTCAAAGGCGCATTTAGCGCAAGAAATTACACAATGTTCTCCACACAACATTTGACGCTAATCTTTAGGGATTTTCTTGCAGCTAATCAATAAAACAGTAACGCTCCAGTTTATTTAGTTGTGTACCAACGAAAATGCTAAAGAGAAACACATTTCGCAGGCATTTAATAGGTGAACACCCAAGAACTATTAGTGGGGAAAAATATAATGGAGAAGTAAACCAAAGTCGAGCTTTTTGGCCTTTGACCTCAACTCGACTGTAACTTCGACTTCATGCCTGGAAACCGACAAATTTAAATGAACTCAACAAAATCTGCCCAACCGCGATCCCAATCGTGCAGCCAAATTAGTTACAAAGCAGCGCTCCTTTCAACAACTGAAACTATGATGACAATATTTACCCAAAAACCTTTTATTTACAAAAAAAAACAAAAATGCCCAGCCAGATTTATGCGCTTGAGTTGCAATGCACCAAGAGATATGGACCAGACCTGTATGTTTGAGAAAATAATTTTGCAGGCCCAGGTTTTTAATATACACAGAATGATGTCAGTTTTCGTGTCATTGTGTTTTTACACACTCAAAAAAAAAAAAAAAAAAAAAGATCTGGTAAAATAAACCATAACAATCCTAAAGGTAGACAACATTATTGTTTATGTAATTCCTTTGTTTTAGCAGCTGATTGCTATTGCTGGTACTTTGGCAGATTTTTCTTAATACTTCATTCTTATTATGGTACAAAATAGGAGCCGAATGCACAGCCACCAAGCCATTTCAGTGTTTCTTCCTAAAATTTGTAACTCAGGCAGTGAAAACTAAGCAGAAGTGGTTGGGCATAAAGCTAAGCTAAACTCAAACATTCATAGACATACTGTTTGGGTGTTTTTGGAATGGGATACGAATCAAGGCAACTGCTATACATTCAGAAATGTCACAATACTGAGGCCTGAAGAATTGGACTTGTTTACTCAGTTTTTTTAAAGTGCTTCAATACCTTACTGTGAAATTAGGAAGGTCTTAAAGAAAGTTACCCAAGACACAAAGAACTGCTACTCAAAATGTTCTCATGATCCCACTGAGCAGCATGGACTCATTTAAAACGACCAGGCAAAAGTGGAGCTGAAATGCTTGCAGAAAAATCACCTGAGATTATCCTTTGGTGTTCCCACAAAAGAGATGTCATGCTTGTCCTATGAATGGAAAAGTAACTGTGTTTGAGACAAATGACTCATTATTCCCAGTCAGGCTACATTCAGGTTCTTCATTTGCCTCTTTCCCATTTCAAGCTCAAAGGCTGACAGAGTGCGTAATGGTGTTTCCTTTCAACAGAAAACACAGGAATCTGTCCATGTATTCAGTATTTAAAGGACAATGAATTTGTAAAACTAATCATCTCCTGGCTACTTCTCAAGTCTACATCATCAACAATAAGCACCATAAGCCAAAGGTGGGATAAAAAAAACATCTGAAATGTGCAAAAATACAAAATGTGAAAGACATAAATATGGCAATTTGCATGGAGATTAAGGTCGAATAATACATATATACTGTGCAAATAAAACATAAGTCTAGTGTCATAGCAAAGTGACATGAAGGGAACATGAAAGTGGAGGCAGCGAGCGGCGCTGCTGGTGACGTGAACTTCAGATGGACGTTTATATGGCCTGAGGGAAAGTGCTGGTCACTGACTCCACCTCTACTGCTGCTTCTTACGGAAGCTGTCGGTCGAGATGGGTGGATGAAAGTTGATGGTGTGGTGCCGGAGACCCTGAGACGTCTTGTAACTCTTCCCACAGCGACATTTAAAAGGCTTGCGCACCCTGATCTGGGTCCGGTGTCCGTTCTTGGCATGATACTTGATGCCGTTCACATTCTGTTGCGAGACAAGAAATTTGAGAAAGACAATAGTTTACATTAAATATTATACATGACTCCAGACTGACAGACTGGAACTTTTACAGCTACAGACAGTTTTGAGATGGAAAATCTGTGTAAGAAACTAAAATAACAATTAAGCTAAACTGTCTAAAATAGACATAGTTGACCAAGACATCTAATTATAGGCCTAATGTGGGCAACAACAAATATTATCCACAAATATGTAACCTATGAGGTATTGTGTGTTATGTTGCATAATTTGCAAAAAAAAAAAAAACGTTTGCAGTCAACAGAAGACTTGTTCTGCTCCTAAACAGATCCCTGCTGCCTTAAGCCTTAGTCATTGCCTATAACTCTGTCATTCACGTCAGCAAAGCAATTTTCTCAGGCTGTGCAGAATTTATCCCAACCACACACACCAGATGTGGGCGGAAAATCCTATAAAACTCCATATCACCGAGGTGGACTGGATGTATGCCTTTAAGTTGTTGTACTGTGCAACAAGGAACCCATTTTCCACTCTCAAGATCTCTCTTTCTCACATACATACATACATACACACAGGCATACACACATACATGAATGAAACTTGCGAGCCTGAAATCCCATCTATCCCTGCTGTGAAGTATGGGAGTGGCACCATCATGCTGTGGGAGTGTTTTGCTCCAAGAGGGACTGTTGTACCTCACGTGAAGAAAAAATGTTCTCAAAAATATTAAAACTCAAGACATCCGTCAAGAATATAATAAAAAAAGAGAGATGGAGTTATAAATGATGACATTTAGTTTCTGTTCTGTTTATGAACTGTAATCCTCTTATATACGGTTGTAGTTTGGCAATGGCGACAGAGGAAGTGAACAGAGCCATCCAGTTCGTGTTGGATGCACTTTTAAGTATTGAGCAATTAAAGTCAGAGCAAGAGGAATGTTTAAGACATTTTATTGCTGGCCAGAGATGTTGTGGCCCGACTCTCCATGGGGTTGTTTACAGCGCATGCAATTTCCAGTGATCTTCAACGAGCTGGCGCACTGCATGTCACGGCCAACGTTAGCGACTGGGTAAGACTTAAAACTTCAACGGAGTCCACACCCCCAGCAAGCAACTCTTTCTCAATAGCTGAGGGTCCAGATTGTCGTTGGTTTTTACCAGGGTAAGATTGGGCACCAATGTGTTTTCCACTCAGACAACGATTAGCTACACAGCAGCATTCCTGTCAACGACTGAAACTACGACGATGACAAGATTTACTCAACAACCTTTTATTTACATCAAAGAAACCAAAATAAAAAGTCAGCTGAATGATACTAACAATGAGGAAAAATGACTGACATGCCAATATAAAAGAAATACGTATAATGTTATAGGGAGATTAAATCCAGTCAGACCTCAATTTAAAACAGGAAAATGTTTTTTTTTTCAATAGGATAAATAATTCCCTTGCGTGTAACAATTTTTTTGTGTGTGCATAAAAAGACAAAGACAGAATGTTGTAAGATTTAGTAGACAAAAATGTGACTAAAACGGCTACAGATGACTAAAACGCAATTCTAAGACCTTGTAAATCAGTGACGAAACACACCTTGTATCTTTTCTTACAGCCGGGAACAGGACAGGCGAAAGGCTTCTCATCTCCTCCGTTCATGCACATAGAGCTTAGGATCGACTCAGAGCTGATGGCGCTCTCTGTGGTCCACGACTCGTCACTGTCAGATGCCTCGAACTCCACGTCCTCATCGTCACATTCACTGCCTGTGGGAAGAAAAACAGCAGAAAGTACAAACATTTAAATCGGAGTCACAGCATCCTAGCGAAGATGCTCTTTGGACTTCCTGGTGGCAATTAGATCTTAACCCTTGGGCTTTCCGTCTGACAAACGCAGACCTTTCTCAGCAGCAGTTCCCATACTCGCCTCTTTCTGAATTACAATACCCAGATTTTAAGAAGCACTGAAATCAGCCAATTATGGGAAAGAATTTCGGGTTGAGAAACTTCTTTTTATTTTATGTATTCATTAATGTCTTTGTCCCTTTGAGTATGTGGGAAAATGGTACAAAGCTGGATAAAAAAAACAAAACGATTCCTGTAGAAGTTGAAGGGGAAAAAAAAAAACGGTTTTCAATTTTTCTGTCACAAAAATAACTCTGAAAAGTGTGGCCCACATATGTATCCAGCCCCTGTGTTTTAAAATGTTTGTAGCGTAGTTTCTTTGAAGTACGCTAATACCTGCTGAGTGAGAGCACGTGTGAACAAAATGTCCAAACTTCTCAGTTAGATTCAAATCGTGGCCATTCAAATACAGGACCCTGCAAAAATTGATCAAATTTCTTTGCAGCTCTGGATTGTTGTTGTTGTGCTGCTAGGACATAAACCTCCAACTCAGTCTCAAGACTTTTACTCATTTTTCTTTGCCTCAGATTCTATAGGTAGACCGAGAAAGTTAGGTTTTAGTCCCATCTGAGCAGATCATCTTCCTCCAGAGTACCCTCATGTGTAGATGAAGTCAAAGCTCATTGTTAAGCCTGTCACTGAAAAAATGTCCTTACCAGAACATCCCTGATGAAATGATTCTACATTACATTATAAGACTCAGAATACGCAGGATATCATCAGTTTTAATCGGAAAGTGTTCTTGCATAGGAATTGTTAAGAGTTCAGTTTGATTCAGTCCTCTGTTAGGTGCAGCAGTAGAGGAAATGCAGTGTAAAAAGCTTAATTCAAGGAATCTGTCATTTCTGCAGCTCAATCAGACTCAGAATGTGAGACACAGAGCAAGACTTTCAGCAGGTAACAGGAAGTTGCAGCGTTTTGTCCTGTTGAGCTTTCAGCCACCGTCTACGGCTGAACATGCTAGCTTTGGAAAGATTGGCAGCGTATAAGAAACCTCGGAGTTGAGTAGAGCGTCTAGATGATGGTGAGAACACACAAAGAGACTGAGGCTGTATTTATGCTAGCCCCCGCTAACTGAGCTAACAGCCATGGGAAAATGCTAAACATAGTCTTAAAGGTGAATTCTAACATTATTTTGTCAGACTTAAAGCAAATACTTTGACGCATCATTGCCTCTGTTTCTAACATAAAGAATGAATGTGTGCTCAATAATGTGTGAAAGCTCGAAAAAGAGAGGTGAATTCTGTTCTCATACTGCATATTCTCGTGTAATAATTCTTAAAGGCAGAAATCAAACAAAAAAGGCATCTGAGAATCCACCAAGAAATTCTGATCAATGCACCTCTGCTTAAATCTCCAAAAAAAAAAGACAATATTTATTTGCCGCTGTGAGGAGAAAGCGCTCATCTCACTAGAAACGACGACGATGGGTACCTGTTGGTGTACTGCTGCGGAAGGACGAGGAAGGGGTGATCGGTGGGGTGACAGGAGGGGTGAGGTTTCCACTGGTGTGACGGGGCGGTGTGGAGACGTTGGTGCGTGACAACGTGGCCGTCAGAGAGAGCTTCGGCTGCACCTTTTTCTTCAGGGCCTCGTGTTCTCGCCTCGCAGCGTCCGTCATGAACCTGGCATTGTGGATCACAAAGCTGCTTAGTGTTTGTTAGAAAGAAAGAGAAAACTAAATCAAGAAAAGAAGGTAATTTCACACTTTCTTCACTAATTAACTTGGAGCCCTTGAGTTGTTGAACACATGGTTGGAAAAAACACCACTGGCCACATTTCCATGAAAAAAAAGCATTTTATTGGAGTAGTAAAGTCTTTGGTAAATTGGTATAATAAGATAGAAGCATTAACACAGACACTGGTAAAGGAAAAGTGGAATTAGCAAATTAAGTATCAGCCACATGAAGATACGTTTGTAAAAGCAGGGAGACAGTGGGACACTTTGTCGTACTCTGGCGTACTGTGGAAGGCCAATAAAAGCTCTGTTTGAGCCCCATATCAAAGGCAGCTGGGATGATCTCAGAGCAGTAAAAAAAACACAACACCACAGAAATTAATCTAAGCAGTCCTCCAGATGACAAATGAAACTGTCAGCAACACTTAATGAATCTCCCGCATAATATAAAACAGAAGCAGCTGATTCAGAAGACGTCTCGCAGTAAAATTCATCTGAGGTTAAATCAGATCAGTTCACAAATTTTTAGACGCAAGTTTTGAAGATAGAAGAAATTGCCCTTACCTATTGATGTAGCTGAGAGCAATATATGTCGGCTGCTGCTGTTCCTGCTTCTCCAAAAAACAGGGGTCTGTTTCTAGGCAGAGAGAGAAACAGAAATATTGGAAAGAGTTGAACAAAAAGAACTAAATATTCACCAAATTCTGTAGGCCTTCAATTTAAGCTAACATGCATATTTGAAATTTAACATATATAGCTAACATGCATATTTGAAATTTAACATATATATATATATATATATATATATATATATATATATATATATATATATATATATATATATATATATATATATAAAGTATTATTTTGTTTTGCCTTTTTCTTTTTATTAGCCTTTAATGCTTCAACAACTTCTCCTTTTAAGGTTGATGTATATCATAAACACCAATAAAATAATACAATAAAATATTATCTAATCATATATATTATCTACGTAATCGTATATACCTGAACAAGGCGGTCCTATGCTAAAAGTAATTGATCTTGTTGAACTTGTAGAGCGTTAAAGCATTTTTATCTCTTTATTTCCTAGTCCACATGAATTGAATACATTGATGATTAAGGCATACATAAGGTTTAACAAATGTTAAATAGAAGACATTATGTAATGGCGTAGCCAATCACAGGACATACAGTATTTCCTATACAGGGTTGTTCCCCACAAAAGATAGTTGCAAATTAAGCTGAAGGAAAATGTGTGAAGAGATATATTAAAACTTTACCCTATATAGGAATGAACTAGCTGGACTTCGAACCTTCTCCCACTGTAAAAGGCAGGCTGGTTCAATGACCATGCCATCACTGTGATTGTGTGGACAACAACCTGGCCTGGCATGAACACATGAAAATGAGAGACATCAGAAGCCCCAAAAACTGCAAACAAGCCCAAGGATCCTATTAAAGTAACCCAGTCTCTGATTAATTTCATGCCACACTTCTCAGATGTCGTCATTCATGTAAAAGGAGCCCCAACCAAGTGCTCCACACTATGTACATTAAATACTATATTAGACTCTATTAGTCTCTATTGGTGCTACATTTTATTTTAATCTTCTGAAAAACTTTTTTTTTTGTTATCTGTAAACCATGATCATAAAAAGTAACAGAAATAAATGTTCAGCATTTATCTCAATCAGTTTCACTTTCTGAATTGAAAGCACTGCGCTCTCTTTGCAGTCAGATGTCAGATTTTCTGAGTTCCCAATTGGAACACCAAAAAAAAAAAAAAAATCCCTAAAGCCCAAAATCTAAGGAGAAAAATCAGAGATTGCTGAGCAACTCCGACTTCAGTATCTACATTGGCTGCAAGCATATAGAAAGCAGTAAATACTCTAAACTAAGACCTTTGTTGAAATAGTATGTGTAATCATGTTCTGTTTTGTGTATGCAAGCATGGAACTGAGAGAAATATAGTGTTGGTTCATATTGGGAATAGCATTTAGAGTTAAAACTATTCTGTCCCAAAGTCAGCTTTCTGACCTTCAATCAAAATGCACATTGAGGTGTTTTCAGAACATTTAGAAACACAATTCAACAATTTTCAAAGTGACAGATTTCACGGCCGAACCATAAAGTATTCTCTGTTCCCCTTGTAGCACACAGTTTTATTATAGAACATCAAGTAAATGACATCTCACTATTTCTAGGTTCTTAAAGTGAAGTCCTGCAGAAACCAAATTGCACACATATGACCACACTCCACACATTGTATGTTTTCGCTTTCTCAGCTCCACACATTCATCCTGCTCAGTGGTGCTAAATGTACAACAATAGCCAACCTCCACACCCTGAGGTGAAGTGTGACTGACTTCAATCACTCTTCCCTCTGCTATGGGAGAAGAAAGACAGCCCATAAAACAACACTTTGTACCAGTTCCCAGCTGAGCCTCCCTGCTTGCATCTCTGACAGTGTTGTGAAAGACTGCTCAGCCCCATGGGGTTCAGTCCATTGCTTGGTTTTTATCCAGCTCATTTACCAGGAGTCATTTATTAGGCCATTGATTTTTAAACTATTATGAGCTTCAATTAAGAAGAAATGATAACATTAATAACTCTGCGATTTCTGTTAGCATCATTTTCTCAAACTGCAATGATGAAAAAAAAAAAAAAATTAAAGGTTTTGTTTAAAGAGGTTGTAATTAAATCCCTCTTTTTGACAGAATTGCTTTAACTATGTCAAATTGTATTTATTTTTTTATTTTTCAAATTCTATGCAAGCCTGCTGAAGATCATAGTACATAATATCAATTGGATTGAAATTTGAACATCGACTAGGACACTCAATGAACCGCTTTTTTTGTTGTTGTTGTTTTTTTTTCTATGAGGCGTTAAATTTTGGACTTATTGGTATTGTTTCGGATCATTAGCCATGGATGAGCTTAATATGATCTGACTGATGAACGTTCTTCTTCAGGGTCTTCTGGCCGCAAATCTAATCATGCTTTGATCAATTATAACAACTCACTCAGAAGCAGCAGACCATAAGATTACCACAACCATGCGTCAAGTTGTCAGTAAAATGCTCTTTTTCTGAAATTTTGCTAGTTTCTCACCAGATTTAATGGGATTCATACCTTTCAAAAGTTTCCATTAGTGTATCGCCAGTTCACAGAATATTAGGACTCATTTAGATTTTTTAGAGAAAGTGTGAGAAGGGCCTTTGCATTATTTTAGCAGTATTTTTTTTTTGCCTTTGAGCTCTTCAATGGAAATTATTTCATCCCTGTATTGTGTTCTTTTTTTTTTGTGACCTGCTTGTCCTTAGGATGATCCACCATTGTTGCATTTATGGATTATGGGTCTCACTGTGGGTTAGAGTCCCAAAGACTTAGAAACGGTTTGGTAACCTCTTCCAGACTTTGCTTCCCATCTGTTCCTACATTTTTTTTCAAATTGGGACATGTGGTGTTGTTTTTTGAGCTCTTTTAGTATACACTATTTAAGTGATTTCTTGATAATACCAGGTAAAATAGTATTCCTGTCAGGATTTAGCGACTGGGATTGAACCCAGCTTTTGAGGAAAAAAAAAAACAACAACTAAAAAAAAACGCATCTATCTATTAGCCTTTTGAGGCTATTATTATAGCAATGTTTGTGCTGGCGTCAAAGAATTTTCACATTTGTAATTGCAGTTTCTTGAAACTATACAGGTCTTAACCTAAGACTACAGATGGCTCTCTGAAGGCCATGTGCAAGCGTTTCATTAATAGTGGATTTATCCCTGGTGTGAAGGACAGCACATTTCGCTCTACTTTCCAACGATGTCAAGAAAACAAAGAGTTGGAGGCACGCATTCATTATGACACTAGTCCCATGCCAAAAGCCAGAGGCAACCCTGAGACTGCTCAGAGCTTTGCAGTAATGGCATGCGTGTGTGCAAGAGTGCACAAGAAATCCCTCCAAAAATCCCTAATGAGTCTCAAGCTGTGGATTGGCGGCTAGCTCAAACAGCAGTGGATCGGTCCATTCCCACACACTGTAAATCACAAAAGCCTCAGGTGGGGACTGCAAAAGAATGCCTGCAGGGACCACACCCCCACAGCCTCTAGTGTTCTTTTAGGGCCACCATGAGTCAAGGATCAGGAGGAAGGTGCCTCAATTGGAGATGGGAACCCCTCTAATCAAGCTACACAGGTGGTCCACCATGGTGGGCAATGATTACAGGGCTTCTGGGAAACAAAGAGTTAGTGTAAGTCAGTGTACATAAAGAAAATATATAATGACACCCAACAGAGCAGCTACTTTAATCTAAAGCAGATTTTCATTATTTATTGCAAACATTTATTTATGCTACAGCTGGGTCATTCGCACTTGATAATCAATTTATGCATGAGGGCTTAATGAAGCGTTATTAATAATTGTTTCTACCTTTCCTCAACCATAATTGTCCCAGTTTTATCTAAGTTTTGACTGGTCCTTTTTTGCACCACTTCATTGACTTTGTGTTTTCTGTTCTATCTGATGGCATCCCGTCCCCTTAAAAATTATTGTCACCCTTTGCAAATATGGATGCAAAAGCCTTGAAATGTGGTATTTGAATGGAAGGTTTGCATGTCTTTCCCATTTTGAGAAGAGGTTTAAGGAAATAATCCTGCTTGTCAAGTCATATGTACTCCACACCAGACAAACAGGAGGTCACAGGTCATTTAAATGCTTTTAAAAAAAGGTCAGCATAAGTCAAGTGCATTTTTGGGAGTTTTTAAATACTGAATAAATATCCACAAACTGAAGGTAGGACTTTTTAATTTTTTTCCTCTGTGTGTGTATATTGTGTGATTTTTCAGTTTCATACTACATGAAATTTAAATTACTACATGCTAATTGTGATTAGGTTTGTGGTTGTAGGGTGTACGTGCAGGCCAAATGATCCAGTAACACTTAACAAAAAGGGTCTCTGTGGTGGTCTACATCAGAATGATCGCACAGCACACCTTCCTCCGGCAGCGGCGGAAGTGACGCCTGCCTGCCTCTCATTAGAAACATCCTCCACCAGACTAGCGTCCTCACTCTTGTGTGCACACCAGACGCACAGTCCCCTCTCTCATTTCCACCAGCATCTGGCTGCTCCACCCCCTGACAGTCAAATGCACCGGGGGGCAGAGGTGAGTGGTGAGCATTATGGTGACATGTTTATGGCGACTGTGAGCTGCAGGGAACATTACCAGGAGTGGTGGCACAGGTAATTCATTACAATGTGACCTCTGAGAAGGAAATGAAACGGAGACAAGCTCCATGTGAAAGCCACTCTTTGGTGGTTTCTGGGGAAACATGGAGGGAATAAAATGATTCATTATAAGTTTGACACACACAGCAACCTATGCAACCCATGCAAATGCACCGTTAGATCTTTCTTAGAGCTTTATCAACCATACTACGAACATGAGAAAAGTCTTATGAGTCAGACATTAACATTGACAAGAATAAAAATAAATAAAATATTAAAGAAGATAATAATCAACACTTCCATCGAAAATTTTGAAATTGAACAGCATTGCAGATCTATCACAATAAAAACAATCCAAAACCCCCCCCCAATAATTCTTGTGTTACAAAGCTCTAAAAGGTTACACAGTTTCTGCAACAAAACGTATTCTCTATAAAAGCAAATTAGCTTGGTTTTATGGAAACCAAAGTATTGTTTGGCCTTGTAAGCAAACACAATATGTGAAAAGATGTAGATTAGGAAACAGGTGTTCACTGTTGCACTGAATCTATGCATCTGTGGCGATCGACACCAGCAAAGATTCTGCAGTAAAACTGGACAGCAACAAAAGTAATACTTAGGACAGCAAAATTGATGGCAGAAATATAATCACACTAAATTTCTGAGCTGCACAATGTTTTTTTGGGGGGGGAGGGTAGTGGATTCCCCCCCACAGAGAGGCAACAGTGAGGGTCTGGGGAAATGTAATTAGCCCCACCAGGTGCACAGATCAGGGAACTAGAACTAGTTACTGTTTAACAAACTTATTACTTCCGCACTTTTTTTTTTTTTTTTTTTTGAATGACTGCAAGTTGTTGGGGAAATAAAAAAAAAGCTCAATAAGCCTCAAACAGGTCTGGTAACAAACAGTCTTGTGTTCTTAAGCTTACTGCCCATGTCAAGCTTCTGCATTTCCTGACCCCGGCTACCTGCTCACAGGTCAAAAAACACATCTGTAGCATCCTTCTGGTCTAAAGCTGACTGAGCACATGGGGACACAGGCATAGTTTAAATTCTGTTATATTAAAACATAAGGCTAGTTTATCAGATTAAAAGTACCTTTTAAAAATACCAACTTTTAAGCACGTATTAAAATATTTGTAATCTTGTGAGCAGAAAATCTTCATAAATAAAGGCGTCAATCTAACTATCTGTCTGTCTACCACAATTATTATAAAGGAGGTTTGACAAAAAAACAAAAAGAAAACCCTTTATATAGTGCATTCAGAGGGATTTCTCCCAAACAACAGACGAGCAGCGCCCTCTCTTGTTCACAGAGCAATTCAGCAGTCTGCCCACAAAGCTCATGTACAAGAATGTATGCTTATTATCAGGTGCCTAATTACAATGGGGGAATGTGCCTTAAGCAGCAGGCCACCAGATGAGGAGGAAGACATGCCAAATCAAGCACCCCCTCTGTAATTATGCATCACAGGCACTTGGCACAACCCGCAAGATTTCGCACTTCTCTGAGTGTATTGTATGCAGGCCGGCAGAGAGGGGAGAGGATAGAGGTGGGTAGTGACTGGAGGGGAGGGGGAGTTTTTCCACTTTGAGGCAACTAATTGCTTCATTATTCCCTAACAAGTTATTTGAAAGCCTTGCTTTTTTTTTTTTTTTTTAACTAAAGCTAACACCTCTGACACATGCAGCACCAGTCTGAGAGCCGAGGATATTAAAGCCAGTCAAGCAACAAACAAGAACAACAGAGGTAGCTGAGCCCTGTCACCTTCAATAATAAGGGCCTGAAATATCGGATCAGGGGAGCGATGTCGGAGCGAAGGGGTCACGTTGTGGGGAAGGGAAGTTGCATTTTTGCCATACTAACAAAAAGTATGTAAACACTAAAAAAAATGTAATGGCACCATTTGACGCAGCTTTACATAAAAAAAAAAAAAAACACGTCTATTGGTTCTCAAATGATATTTTTACAAAGTATAAAATCTTTACAAATAAATAAATAATGACATTTCATTTCAAAATATTGCCTCTCACTTCCAGATTTATCAGTGATTCTGAGACTATTTTGCCACCCTGGAACGAGAGATACATCAATCAGGCATTTCTTGACTGGTTCCAGTTTCCGTCTTTCTTTGAGGTCCGACTTGCTGATTCAGACAAAGATTGATTCCAGTTTTTTTTTTTTTTCAGTTTTATTTTCTAAAGGTTATAACACACAACACATAAAATGTTGTCCTTGACTGACCAAGCAGTTTGAAATACATCAGAAAGAAAGAAATTGTGATTTTAACAGTCCATGTACAAATGCAAGATGGTGGGTGGTCTGAGATGTTGACCCGCCAATCACCAATCCAAGTCATTAAAGAATATTTATGAAAATGGAGAAACCTTAGCAATAAAAGGTAGAAAAACAGAGACTGACGTAATGTGGAAGAGTCAAAGGGAAAAATGTTACACATAATCTCCATAAATACTGCCTTTAAAAACTTGATCTTTTATTTCAAAGACAGAATCTCACCCTGATAGTTCCGTCTGGTGATTTTACCCTTATTGTCATCATTTAACCCTGTTTGTCACACTTGAGTAAACTGAAATGTAATTAGAATATGACTGTAAATATGTACATATTTTCTGAAAATTCCTTCCAATTTTCCTTTTACGCTTTTTTACCCCCCCAAGATCAACACACATTTGCTGTCTGTAAATGACCTGTTGTCTTATCTTTTGCATTTTGAAGATTGTCAACAAGAAATGGGCCTCTGTGTTACATCATGTTTATGCAGCACAATCATTAAGGCAGTGCTGACATCACAACCAAAACAGGACTATTTTCTCCCTATGGGAAAATTTTATGAATGAAATCCACAGCTCCTTGATGGTGAACATGTGTGAAAGGCCTTTAATTAAACCTTTAAAATTTTCGGTACACTAAACTTGGCCATGCATAGGTAAGAGATCTGATCATAGGATCTGATCATAGGATCAGATCTCTTACCTGATGATCAAAAAAAGCTGATTAACTGACAGAGTGGGAGGCAAGTGATGTGAAAAATTAGTGAAGCTCCAGTGAGCCTGGTCATCCAATGACCTTCATTAAATGTTGTTAAACGTCCCTCAAATGGATAAAAAAAAAAATGGCTTGAAAATTAATGAATCAAAATGATTTCTTGAGCATACCTGCTTCATTTATCGCACAACACTTAACTAAGGAGGGGCTTTGATTGAAGTGGGATGGCCTGTAAATTTGACATCTGTGAGCCAATTTTATCTGCTGCAGCCGTATTGTCGAGCTGCTTGCAATCCCAGGCAGAACTGATAGGACATTAAACTGGCCTCTTTTATATGCATTGTTACATTTCTTGTTAAAGACAGCCAGCCAGTTTTACTAGCCAACACCAAGCCCCATTTTTTTCTTTCCCCCCACCCCCAAGTGTAACTTCTTTTTTTAGTACTGTAACACATGCAAACAAAATTCTGTAAAAGCTGTTTATTTCAGTAATTAAGTGTGGCAGAGATGGACCATAATGGAAACAACGTGTGTTGCAGATTCCTTGACGGAAAAGCAACAGGAAATGAAAGCGCGAGAAGATTGTATTATGCATCAGAGCATATCTTAGTAATCATTCTCTGTTTCTTATCAGTATATGGAACTTTTCAACCCTAAAAGGGTTGATAAGTGCACCATTCCTCTCACCCAAAAGCTTTGCCTGTCTGTGCCAGGTCACGGAGACCCGTGACCTGGCACAGACACGCAGGTATCATGTAAACAGACTGACATTTTTGACAAGCTGTCAGCAGCATGTCTGCAAACTAGCTGACTGCAGACTGCCTAGTTGAGCTTGACTAATTAATGTACTAATATTGGCTGCTAGACGACCAGTGTGCCCATAAAGGACAAAGCAACAACCAGGAATTATATGCAGCATAATAATCATATCTACTTGAAAAGCTTCTCCACTATTTTTGCAAGTGTTAAATCGACAGTTTTGATAAAGTCCAGGTGTCAGAATAAAAGCAGATACAAAAAGTTCTAGATAAATATCATTAGTGTAATAAGCAATACTTTATCAGCTGTAAGAAAACTAGTTGCTTTTTCTCTTTTAAATATAAGTAATTTGACCCTGTTTCACTATTTATGTGTAAAATGTAAACGGTGGTAATATTAGGTAAGGTTAACATTCCGGTTAATACGTTTAAAATGTTCATATATAAGGAAAATAATTCCTTATATAACTCAGCCACAAGATATAGACTATAGAGTATGAACTTATACAGCAAGCTTAGGTAAAATCTAGTGAATTACAGAAAACAAAAGAACAATATAACGATCAAGACAAGATAGCCTGACAAAAAAAAATTGCAAATCATTAATAATATTTAATAAAATACCTCATTTATTCTGAAAGAAGTTTGTTTTCTCCATGCTGGAACTCAATGAAGTGATAGACAAAGTAACACCAACAACACAGACGCGTTTTGCGATTTTTGCATGATGACGTGCTGAGTGCAGCGAGGCAAACGTCAAAGCGCTGCTAATTATTCAACGCAACCTAACGAATCAAATATACCAGCGGCGCTTTGATCTCTGCGCGCGGCCTTGCCTCAGATGCTGCACGAGCGACTTGCCAACACACAAAGTGTCTCCGGTTTCTCCTACCGACTTATTTCAGTTCTCCGATTCTGTCGGTGTCACTGCCATGTAGGAAGTAACGCAGCTCTTTAGACAGAAACGAGCAGGACCCACCGGAACATCAACGGTCACCACACCTAGCAACCGGGTTGCCAGGACGCAGGAAGTAACTTGTTAGCTGTAGCTTCTGGTAGCCACGTCTGCTAGCTTCGGCCGTGGCGGCTCTTACCGATGTGGTTATCCTCGATGTGCACGATGAGCTCGGTCAGGGAGTCGAAGTGAAGCCCGCAGCCGGCGAACCTGCACGCGTTGGAGAAGAAGGAAACAGCCGCGATGCCTGTCATGGTCGCCGTGACATTTGAAACGAAGGCAGGCGGGCAGGCAGGCAGCAGCGGAGCAGCAGAGGCGGCGGGGCAAAGCAGCGGCGAGAACAGCTGGAGCCGAGCTGCGACTCCTCCGAGCTGCGTCAAACCAGCTGGAGACCGACCGACGACAGCACCGGATGTAAAGCTGCAGACTTTCATTTGAAAAGCACAATAGCTTTCGGATAAACTGCGAGCACGGATGTGGTTGAAGCCGCACATTCACAGAAATTAGCTTTACATCGGCATGTAGGTAGTTTTTCTTTCTTTTCTTTTTTTTTTGTCTTAATGTCAAAGTAATTGACAATTTAGTCAAACGAGTTGCACAAGTTAATAATGATTATTACAATTACTTTGTTTATAATTCTTTGTTAATTTATTTAAGGGTCAGTCAGTACATATGAATATACAGTAAAGTACTAAATGTGCAGAGCCAGCCAGGAGGTCATCACAGCATCTCAACTGGACTTTACTCTAAACTTTGAGTAGGCGTGCAGAATTTGCCTGAAATATATAATGTACCTTGAAATCATGACTCTTTTAGCTTTACTTAAGTGTTGGTAAAAAGCTGACTTTGTCCTGTTGGAATCACATGCGGCCAGCAGGGAGCCCTAAGTATCCACAAACACAACTTCACCTCGATCTGACCATGACAACAGTTCATCTGTAAAAAAAATAATAATACATGGTTATGTCTTTATCTAAGATGCCACAGAGTATTTATAATATATTATAAGATATCCCTAAACATACGTATGTACTAAATTTTATTCAGGGTATGGTTGAGGGGATTTATTTAGTTATGGGAGATACATTTTGCTGTTTGAAATAATATTACGCATTTATTATTTAAGCCCTGCTTTTGCAGGGAAAATCTTGGTTACTTACATGCCTAAAGGATTGCTTTTAGCATTTGTATTTGAATTTCAAAAGGATTAAAAAAAAAATGAAACGGCATTAACGTCAATGAATATATTTTTTGCCGCCTGCTAAAAGATGGACAGCCTGAAGTCATTAAATACATATACATCTATCTCTTTTTAAATGACTGCCCGGCCTTCATCACAACTGAACCAACTTTGTCTAACTAGCAGCTTAATGTCAATCACTTCTAGAAATCACTCCAGGGTGTGAGTCTTCATCCAAGATCAAAACATTTTCAGCAATTATTGCAGCCGTTATGGATCAGCAAGCAGCTCAAAAACAGCTAATAGCCACAGAGTGGCAGTGTTGGTCTGGGAATAAATGTGATTCACTTCAGTTCATTTACTTTTAGTAAAATTCACAACCTTAAGGTAATCAGAATTAAAATCATGTCCATGAGGTAATTAAGTTAGTCTAGTGATTTAAACCCTCCATTGTCTTATGTCATGGTGATTTTATGTTCATGGTATCAAAATACTGTTAAATTGATTTGGATATTTGACATCTACATATACTGTGAAAACAACTTAAACTGTCAGTCTTTCTCATTGGAAATTATGCTAATATTTACAAGGATAATATCAACCTCTCCACATTTACCATCTCAGAATTAATATTTCGAATTTTGCTTCAATTCCTTAAATTAGGCTTTTAAAATAATAATAATAAAAATATGATTTTTTTATTCATTCATTCATTCATTCATTCATTCATTCATTCATTCATTCATTCATTTTATTCCATTATATTCACAGACTCCATGCCTTTCACACTTGAAGCCTAAGTAAAACAGTTTCTCTTGTTATCGGAAAATCCTGTCAATATATTTCATTGCTGTCGTTTTTTCAAAGAAGTGGATGTTTTCAATTACAAATGCTGGCTCTGCCTGTTCCAGTTATTTATTTACCATTTCACTTGATGGGTATAGTTATAAGTAATTATTGCTCTTCGACTTGTTGCGCCCCACAAATAGTTGTAACAGATGTACCAGAGATTTATTTTATTTTAAATTAGGGGATACTCTTAAATCAAGCGTTGCATTCAATAAACTTCCTGTAATTCAACTAAGAACGATGAGCTCATGAGTAAAATGATTCCCTCACTACTTCAATTTTTCATTTAGGAAAGGTACCTTTTCCCTTTTCAGTTTCTTACAAAACAAAGTTAGTCTAGTAATTACTCATCCATGTGCTTAACAAATCATCTTTATTTATTCATGAATAACTACTTAGCGTTGTTAAAGACCGGTAAGAAAGGAAATATGGGTTATAAGTACATAATAAAGACAACCAACAATACTTTCATTCAACTTGAAATGATGTGGATATCAAACAGTGCTGTGAGCTGGGAGAGGGGTGCCATCTTGAAACAATGTTCTGTAATTTGCTGTCATTGTCACCTCAGTAATCTTTGTTTTCTTTGGCTGTGAAACTTATGAAGATGGTAAAATATGCTAAAGAAGGCAAAAAAAAAGTTAACCAACTCAAGCAACTTACATCATTATTTAGACACATAGCGGTGCTCAGAAAAATAATTTGCCGTCAACAGTTTTCAAGTTAGAGATGTAAAATGACCTGTGATGGAAAGCTATAAAGTATGGTTTGAAATTTTTTTCTTCAAAGGAAGAAGAAAAAACATACAGTCTTGTTGCTAAATGGACAAGTGCTGAAGAGAACATTATAAAAAAAATCCCATTGTGCAAGTGAAAGTCTACAAAACTGAGTTGACAAAAAGTGTTTCTGGCAACTAAAGAAATGGCAGATAGAATTTTCTACGGCATCTGGTTGCACCGAAAAGAAGCAAAAGAGGAAATTTAATTTAAGTTATCTCCATTTTTTCCCTCCATTCTAGTGAGAGATAGTGGAAGAACAAAGATCACAGCATGTGGTGTGCGGTTCACTTCTTAGCAACACATGTATGAATCATCACATTTTAAACCGCACCCTTCGACCAAACATGTAGAGTTAATAGACAAAACACTTTAATTTGTTAGAAACAAATCCTGTATTCAATTCTGCATTGATGCACAACTCTGTTTACTTGCCAGAGATGAGATTATCTGTCACTTTTGTACATCTGAATTGGATAATTGAACAAATTTAAGCAGTTTCTTGGTTCGTGTCAGATATGCTTCCAAGTTTGTGAGTTTTGTACAACCATATTTTAATTCTTGTTTTGATGAAAGCAGAACGTATATTGTCATAAGAAGTTTGCATTATGAAATTAACACAAATAAGACCATAATTCCGTCTTATCTTTTTCTATGCAGGGATATTATAGTAACAATAAACACATCTATACATGCAGAATCCATTTTCTGACATGCAGGATGGTACTCTAGTTTTAAGGAGTCATCCCACTGAACTGCCTCCTAAGGTTACTCTTAACAGTTATAGGGTTCAATTTTTGAATACAGAAAAATCCCCACGATTTTCTGCCTTTAAACTTCCAACGTGCAAATAACAATGAAATTAGTTTCTAATTCCAGCTGAAGGCTTAGTAGTTTTACATTTCTTAGTCTCCACAAGAGAAATTGTTTACCTTTGCATTTTGTGTGTTGCACTGTGCACAAGCAGCTTTATTGTCATTTCAGCCGAGCAAATTGAGTTTTGTATGTTTACATTAAAGCTTAATTCTGCTCTGTTCAAAGTTTTGCTGACTCACAGCTATTGTGACAAATAACCAGAAATAATCATTCAACATGTCTCGCCACTGACTACCACTTTTTTCTTTTTTAAGCTGGAACCACATGCAGTTTACTTGAGAACAACAGTCAATCAAGATTAAGTCTTCTTGTTTCAAAATATATCATCATGTCCTGCCCTATTGCTCAGATTTAATTTTCCAAAACTGGGTTATTGTCAGTCGAATATTTTCTAAGTTCAGTGTTCCTTCTAAAACCTACCCAAATAACTCTGCACCAACAGCTATTGTCTGTCTTGTATTTAAGTGTTGTTGCCAGACATAATTTTACCCAGAGACAAAGCCATAGGGCCTGATTGCTCTAGTCTTTCCCGCTCTGCTGTCCTAATGAGGGGCTGTGTGATGTTAAGTATTTGATTAGCTGAAGATGTTTCCTGCCCTTTCAGATTCAAAACCAATTGTCAGGATTCTAGGGGAATACAATATGGTGTAGTTAAAATTGATCCTGTATATTTTATCAAAGCAGCTAAAATGGTGAGGCTTTGTGACTATACTTATGCATGCGAGGCATAGATAATAACCGGACAGATGTAAAAGCTGCAAATCACAATGCAGTGATGCAACTCTAAGCTTTACAAACGAACAGAATGTTCAGAATCAGGTGTCAGATGCTCCCATCAGTGTACGCTTCAGTATTTCTATTGAGAAACAGAAAGACATAAAGACACTTATGGTATGCCCCATTGACACACCTGGTGTAATCATCCGCACTGGCTCTTCAAGGTGATCTTACCCAAAAGCATTGCACAGAGGCATAATCATAAAAGGGTTAGTATAATATAGATCAAATCTCCTTTAGTGTGGGTCACTGACCCAAACTGTATCGGCTCTTTCCAGCCTTAATTGTCTGTTCTTCTAGAAGCATAATGTTTGGATTGGTTGGGAAATATATTGGCAATAAAGAGACAAAGGGATGTCATAAATGTTGATTAAAGCTCTGGTTAAAAGACAGAGGCGGAGAGGCCCTGAGTTATGAGGGCCTTTCAGACTGCGTTATTGTTTCGGTGACAGGGCTCTTAGTGTGTCTAGTGGAGTGGTCGCAGGCCAGTGGTAAACATTTCTCAACGTGTGAGGAGTCATTAATCCCTGGAGTGGAGGATGGCTTCACTACCACCACTGTCTGTGGCCGAGAAATCACGGCCAGTTGGCACCAGCAGGTCACCACGGAGCTGCAACTCTGAAGTGTTATGCGCAGATGTCTAAGCCTCTGCTAATGTGCACATTTCTGAAAATTAACTGGAAGGTTTTAACTATTGCTGATGCCACATGTTCAATCAGAAAGGTTATCATTATTAGGGTTACTTTTTAAAGAAAACCACTGGCCTTTGTTTGAAACAGAAAATGCATCATTTTCCCCAATGTGGCTAAAATAATATCACAATTATTCTTGTTGTTATAGTAAGGTTTATTATAGCTATAGCAAGCTTATCTTTAAAAAAAATAATTTAAGTAAAAATAAATAATAAGTAGTTAAGTTTTATGGTGTTTTTACAATGTTATTTATCAGAATATGTTTTTTTGTTGTTGCTATTTTGCCCTTTACAGAGTAACAAAACTATAACCAGATAGTTATTGATGGGAAAATTGGTTGAGCCTGTTTTAAAACAGGCTCAACTTAAATAAAATCAAGGATGGCATTTTTTTAAATTCTACATCCTGATGATGTTTTCAATTTCTAGAAACGCTGTTCAAACAACTTGTTTTTGTTGTAGACATGGGAAAAGTGCAGGGGCCTTCTTTTCAGCCAGCTGACCGGTAGTGCACGGCGACAGGTGAAGGAAACAGGAGTGCTGGTTTATGCATCGAGGATATATTTGATATAAATACATGTTATGGCTTCATATTTGAAGCCAAAACATGTTAAAAACACAACTGCATTCTTACTGCAGTGAAGAATATTGAGTCTATGAGTTCAAACACATAAGAAATTAGGTTAATTATTTTATATATATATATATATATATATATATATATTATTTTTTTAATAAATATATAGGATAGAGAGATATATAGAGAGAGAGAGAGAGAGAGAAGAGAGAGAGAGAGAGAGAGAGAGAGAGAGAGAGAGAGAAAACCTATTTTAAATTTAACCGTTCCCTTTAATGGATATATCAAAAGCGCATGCGCAGAAAATAGAAGGGTTATTTGGTGAAATTTAAAACGGCAAAATGAAAAAACTAAATTGTTTTGCAGCCGAATGTCAGTTCTGGATGCATCCTTCTCCGGCATTAAGCTGCTGCTGCGTCCTGAACCCAGTTCAGAGCTGTCAGTCCAGCCCTCCAGTCTGACTGGTCAGCAGCGGTCATCCCGCTGTGTCGCACCACACCCACTCCAGGACCAGCCGGTGTCCCGTCCATGCTTCTGGGCGTTCCTCCACTGGCCCCGCTCCCGCCCGCGCCGCCCCACTCGTGCAGGGCCCGCTATGATTTAGAAGTTCAGGAATCCCACGTGACGTCACCCCGGGGTGACGTTATGCTTCTCTAAATAGATCGCATTGTAATCCTTTCTCAGTCCAACGTGGTTTCTTCTCAGAGGCTGCTTCACATTTTCTACACTTGTTTGGTAAGTTGAAAGCCCTGCCACCATGCAGACCCTCTTGCACGAGCCTCTGCAGGTTTGTTGACTTTTGTTTAAAGCGATTTTTTTGGTGACTTTTTTTTTTCCTGAAATGCAACAGCTTGTTTTCCTGTTCGCTCCCAGCAGTCTGGCTGAAGATGTTGATTTTCTTCCTGTTTTGCAAAGATCCAGGCGTGCGCCTCACATAACCGCCGTCTCCCGCGACTTTCGTTAGATTGAACGGATTGTCATCTCGCCTCATTGCCGACGCCTGTATTTACTGTTGCTGAAGTTGACACGGAGTCAAGTGCCGCTGCAGTGCTCGGTCCGCGCACTCTGCACGGACTTCAACTCCATCTCGTCCAGCTCCCGGCTTCTAAACGGGTCAATGCAGCGGGCTGAGTCCCCCTCCCTCACCCTGGCGCTCCCGTCAAGTTTAAGTCTCCGCTCCGAGCTGCATCGCTGCATCATTTGTCACGCCTGTCCCGTTCAGGGATAAAGCGCAGCCGGCGACCCGTCCGGGACTCCTGCGCGCTGCGGTTCACCAATGACCGTCTGGAAAAAAAAACAACAAAACAAACAAACAAAAAAACGCCTCTTCTGTTTTTTATTATTATTAAATTGAAGTTTTCTTTTTTTGTTTTGTTTTGTTTTGTTTTTTTTTAATCATAACGCGAGCAACATGACGTCATCCTGCAGGCTCGTCGATATTTGATTAACCGCGGAGATGTTGAGGGCCACTTTCAGGAAGGTTGTGCTGACGAGGCGCGCTTTGTTGATGCACGGCTTGAAGGGAAGAAAACACGCTTTAATTATATGATTGCTCCTCGGCCGCTGCCATTATGTTTATGTGACAGCGCTGCCAATAACCACTTTTCTTTCGCGTATACGCTCTAAATTATGCTTCCGTTTTTTTTTGTTTGTTTGTTTTTTTTGTTTTGTTTTTTGCTGTTTTGTCTCGCGATTTCTTGAATTAATAACATTAATTCGTTCGCGGTGAGACGTGTTTTTGTTTCGTTGTGGGGGATAAAGTAGGACCTTGTAAATGCAAAGAAAAAAAATGTTTTAAATTTCAAGGGAACTACTCAGACTGCAGGATCTCATTAAAAATAATTAAATGCATGAAATTAGTTTGTAACAAAATGTCACTTTTGAGGGAAAATAGGCAAATTATTAACAACTGCATTAACAATTGGAAGTGTAGCTTGTTTTAATTTGTACCTTGCTACAGATTCCTTCCATATTTTACACAGGCTTGATTGCAGTCTGGAGGCTGATTGCACTGGTGAAATGTGACCCAAACTGAGTTTATTTGTTGATGACTGCTTCCAGTGCTCAGGGTTCCTTTGTAATGATTGAGCTAATGAATAAAAAAAAGAAGGAAAAAGAAAAGAAAAGGGGTAAAGTGACAATTCAATCTGGCCCCAGAGCTTTTGTTCCTGAGTAGCACTTTTAACTGAGGTTTATTTCTGATTTCTTGCATTGATGTCAAAGTGTTTCTCCAGTTTAGGGGTTTTATTGCAATGGTAACCTCTTCTGTCATGCACGACAGTTGCAATAAAATCAAGTTTAGAGTAGCACTGAATTTGCTACATGAGTGGATCTGCAGCAGAAGTCGAAGAAAGTGTCTTGAGAAGGCCAGAAACTCTGCCTCAGGGATCGCCGTAATCCTGCCTTGAACTTGTGCTGTCAAAAGCCAATTGCTCTGCATGTTCATGCTTGCTTTAACCTCTTTGCACCTCAGCCCCTCGTTTCCTCACCATATTGTTTAAATTCTAATGCGTGGTCTACCTGGAGAATTCCTCCCCAGTTCCTCTTGAAACCAAACGCTTGACCCTAATCCTTCAACTCGCTCACATCAGGGTTTAGTTAATGTTATAGTGTAATCAAATTTCCTCCGCTAAACTAAAACATCAATATAAAATGTGGGCCAAGTGCTCTTTCCAAGAGAGTGGCGTTGAGTACTGATAATCTAACGTGTGAGAGGTATTGGGGAATTCGCGAAAGGCATTTTTGGAATTAACAGTCGAGTTTTTTTGCATCATATGGTTTGAATTTCCTGCTGACTGTGCTGAAATAATCAAACCCAATTTCAATAACCGGAAGTATGGGTTCTTTTGGACAGTATATGAAGTCTCATACTTAAGGACTTATCTGGTTCTAAATAATAATTTCCAGTGATAGTTGTGTGCATCGTTTCCTCTGCAAGCAATGATATGATCATTCCGTTTAAACCTGTATAAATAGATCACGAGAAAATAAATAGAGTGACATGAGTGGCAGAAACAGTGGAAAAGGCAAACATTTCAGTTAACAAAAATAGTGGCAGAAATGATTCAGAGTTGGAATAACTCTGACGACAGGTCCGCAGACTCTGGTCCAACAGGCTGCCATCCTCTCTTTTAGTTTGAGCTTGGAGCTCAGATCAGCAGCGTTGGTTGTGTTGGTTGTGTTTGCCGTGTTCGTTGTGGCAAAGGAGACCAGGTGAGTTTTTAGAGCCCATTTAGAGGAGCCTGAGTGCACCGGGGGCGCAGGAAAGTAAGACCTGATCACCTTGCTCTCTTGACAGAAAGACTCTGTCCAGACCCTGTTTTGCAGGCTTGGTCATGAAATGCAACTTGTTAGGCAAACACAGTGTTAGAGTGTTTTGACTGCGCTTCAGGAAATAGCCTGTACCCATGAAAAAAGGGACACCTAAAAAGTGTGTGAAAGTATTCATGTTTTGTAGTTTGAAACGGTGGCTCTGGCTAAATCACAGGTGTGTTGCAGTTCTTTTACGTATGACAGGCTAACATGAAAGAGAAAAAAAGTGATCAATGTGACTGTTGAATGTGTGAATCACACCGTGGTAAAGCAGTTTACAGCAAACAAGAAAAAAAATAAGTAAAAAATCCAGAATGTGATTAATTAATGTTTTCCAGATAGGTTATATGACAGGTGATGTAACAATGTCGCAAGCTTTTGACGATGTTCGGATATCAATGGGCATTTATTTTAATTTTTTTCAGTGTCATAACAAAACAGTAATTTAATTACTGATGTTTCATGTCCACAATGTTTCTACTCATTCTCCACACCAACAGATCTACTTGTTTGTCATGAAGTACTAAAGATAAAATAGGTTTGAAGTTTTTTTTTCTAAAATTGCATTACATTTAGCATTACAATCTTGATGGGCTGCACTTCTGTATCTCTCCATGAACCATTATCATCATGGAAAATGTTAATATCTGATACTAAAATGTAATGCTCTTCTTGAAAAGCTTTTTAAGTGTTTTTTATCTTTTGTAGAGTATAATAATGCTCTTGATCATTGTGAGGAGCTCATTAAAATGCAGTATTAAAAGTTTAACAAAGGCAACAACTTGTGTATCTGTGAATAATTTAAAATGATACACCACTCATAAACAAATGTTGCATTTCATTTAACTGTGAGGTTCACCCTTTTGATGGTTTTTGCTTGTTTGAGGCACTGCCAACATTTAGAAAGTAGAGAGACTCAGCATAAACAGTTACTGTTTTATTTGCTACAAACAAAAAAATGGCAAACATCACCACAGATTTGTCTTAGGGTTAGGATGAAACAATTCGTTTTGCTTATATAAAATTTTCATGGAATGCTTATGAAATACTGATCTGATCTGCTAATCATTTTTTATTGTAACTTTTTTTATTTGGCTGTTTTTGTTTAGATTAGCTGGTAAAAACCACACGTCTACCTGTCGTTCATGTGTCAGTTATTGGTTGCGTCCCTAATTTTGACTCTTGATTGCATGCTTTAGTCTGATGTAAACAATTTATATTCCACACATACATGAAGATCACAATTTCATTTTTAAAATGTGCATCTTTTTTTTCCTTTTTTTATTATGCCAGGGTTCCATTTTATTGTTTTTTTTAATCAATAAATCAAAGAGTCAAGGAACATATTTTTCTAAGACATTTTGTCCTCTATTTTTCTCGTAGAACCTAAAATAACAGCTGAAGTCATTTACTTTTGACAAGTTGGAGCTCATGCACTCTTGTAGCACACTGTTAGTGTGAGTGCAGTTTAATTTTTAAGGTTGTTTGTCATAGACCAAATGGACTTCTGCCATCTAATTATATTTGTCTGCTGTGACACCACTTCCCTTTCGTATTTTTCCACAGAGAAGTGCAACGAAGTTCAATAATGTCTCAAGAAATTACTGAAAAGTTGAAGATATAAAGTGCCTCAATTAAAAGATATTTTCCATCAAAGATTTATTTTGTTTTTTAACTGTAAACATTCAGATGAATGTTAAAAGTAGAGGAAGTTTTGGAGTTATATCTGAAAAACTTAAGTTTTTTTTGTCTTAAGATTAATTATCAAATACATATTTAAGACGTGTTTTATTATATCATTTCTCAAAAGTTACAGTAAAGCCAATTTATGTCTTTTTTGTGATAGAGAAAATGTAAAGCGTTTGTGTTTATCGGTAATTGTACATTTTAGCTAGATACCGCATGCATATTATTTTACAGGGTAATATGATACATGGAAATGCTGCTGTTGTGATATTTATGTTTTTATTTTAAGATGAGGACATCATCCGCAAATACTTTTCTCAATTTATTCTCTGTATTTCTTAAATAATCGGAACTTTTTGTGTAATTTCCCCACCACTTGTGCATAAGCATTTTGCGTTGACAGTAGCAGTGTACTTGTTCCTTAAAGTGCCGGTCGGGGATCTAGAGTCAGTCAGGTTGCCTTTCTGATTCATTTATATGTCTTCTCTTGCAGTTTTATGAGACGCTGGCCAGAGGGATGAACTCAGACCAGGAAAGGCCATTCGTGTGCAATGCTCCTGGCTGCTCTCAGGTTAGTGTATATCTATAAATGCATATCTTGGGAGATTCACACAGGATGTCTATGTGCACATGTCTACCTAACAGCACAAAGCATAGAGCAAATCTAATTACAAAGTTACCTGCCAGTGTATGGCATGTAGAACTACACTAGTTATCTAGCACCTATTTTCTAGTTTAAGAGGTTTCTCCCATTTATTTTTGCCTTTGGTCGAAACTAAAGGCGATTGTCAAAACTATCCTTTTTTTCTTTCTATTTACTGTTCTTGCTTTTTCTTCTTCACACCTCCTGGTTTTAAAATCAAACAGCGTTTTCCCACGGAGGATCATCTGATGATTCATCGTCACAAACATGAGATGACCCTTAAGTTCCCCTCCATAAAAAACGACAACATGTTATCAGGTGAGTTACATCGGCATCGATGCGGACCGATTTGCTTCTGCAGCCCAGCAAGTTTCTGATGCAGAGGTGTGCCACAAGTGACTCAACCACAGACATACTCATCTGTCATCACAAACCTTTATGGCTAGTCCTATACAAGCTGTTTAAAGTGATGTAAATCATATGGTTTGTTGGCCTATGGCTCAGGAACCTGCTGTTCCTACCGTTTGTGCTTCTTTTCCTGAATAACACTTTGAGTAATTTACATCTTCAAATTTTTTTAGGTGAGTTTGAATTTTTAAGTATATGCGATTATATTCACCTTATCTTGAGTTCATGTGTTAGGTCGACTATGCCTCTCCAGCTATTGTCTAACTAAACCAGATTCTATCCTCTGTATTATTTACACCGTTTGGACTACAGGATCAGCTTTTGTAGGCCGAGTGTCTCATAGTCTTCTGTCTGTGTTACAAATTCTCTGAATTACATGTTGAACTCAGGAGAAAATGGTCAGCAGTTTGCCATTACCCATAAGCTAGAGCTTAGTCACACATGGCAATGTGGCTAAACAGTCTCCTTAGCTTTAAAATAAAGTGAACAGTGTTTGCTTTTCACCAGGAAGCATCCTGGATAAAAATGAATAGCTTCCTTTCTTTTAGTTATAGAGCATAAATTAATATCTCACTCGAGACAAGATTGAAAAGTTACTCTGGTTAAAACTGTATTTTGGGATCACAGGTCATGTTGAAAGTTTGCGTCAATCCCCAGTCTAGCCAGAATGAGTAAACAGACCATGAAGCATGCTTTTAGCCTTTGAAACAACCATGATCCTAAAACCACCTTCAACTGTCTGAAACCTGATATGCATGCACCCCCCCAGAACGTCAAGCCGAATGCTGCAGCTTTCGGCTGAGACCCCACTCTCAGCGGCAGGAATCTGTTCTTTGTCGGCAAAAATGGTGCTGTCAAGGGAGCATCTCCCTCTCACTAACTAAAGGCTGTAATGCTTTTTTAAAAACCAAATGGGTGATGGTACCTTAGCGTGCTTTCAAGCCATAGAAACCTTTTCTTGTTATGACACAATGTCTTTTATTTGTCAGTCCCCTTCACTTAATCTGCCTAATTAAATCTACTGCAACAACTTTCTCAAGTCGCTTAATTAGTAAATTAGCAACTCCATGTGCTTAGTTTAATCTCAGAATAAAAATGAATTCTTCTAAGGTGAAGAGATTCATGAAGACCAAGAAACCCAGACAGCAGACAGGTCTGGGTGTGGAAAAGTTTAAAAGAGGATTTTGTTATAAATAAATCACCTGAAAATAGAAAAACCGAGGTACAAATGCAAACCTAGGAAGAGATGGACCTACACCTTGTTGAAAGAGCAGGTCTGGCAAGAAGAGCATCATTCAGAGAAGCAACCCTAGTGCCTCCGATGGAGGAGCACCAGAGATCTGCAGCTCAGCTCAACTGATAGCTTTGTTCTCTACAAATTCTGCTTTGCAATTTTTGCAATTTAATCTTTTTGCCTTTTCACCCTAAATGACCACCATATATGGTGAAAAGAAAAACATTAAATTGTTTAGGAAGCCTGAAAAAGTCCTATTTGCAGTTTTCCAAGAGCCATGAAGGGGCCCAGCAGTAATGTGAAAGAAGGTGCTGCTTTCAGATGCGAACAAAGTAAAAAGCATGTGTGGATGAAACGTAACACTGGACATAACCCCGAATATATTATGCTGTGGGGATGCTTTACATCAGCAAGAAGAGGGAAACTGGTCAGAGTTGATATAAAGATGCTTTGAGCTTAACACAGACAAATCCTGGAAGAAGACCAATTAGAGGCTGCAAAAGTCTTCAATCTGATGCCAAAGTTCACCTTCAAACTTGATAACAACCTTAAATGTACAGCCAGACCGACAATGGAAGGGTGTGGAGCAAGTTGTATCCATTTGTTGGAATTGCTTTGCCAAACCTCATTGAGAGTGTGGAAAGACTTAAAAAATTACAACAGATGCTTTTCATCAAAATTTAAATGAGCTTCAGCTATTTTTTCCAAAACTGAGCAAAAATCTGAGTCTCCTAATATGCAAAGCTGGTAGAGACATACCCCCCGTAACCGGGATCTGTTATTTTACTGAAATATGACTCTAAAACACAGATTTTTATTTGAAAAAACAAACAAACAAACAACAAACAAACAAAAAAACACATATTCTTTGCCTTGAATCTCACAATTACGCACTATTTTGTGTTGTTTAGTCACATAAAATACCAATAAAATAATTGAGGTTTGTGGTTGTAACATGATGAAATGTGGAGAACCTCTGGGGGTGAATACTTTGAAAGGCACAATATATTCTCTAAACCTGAGGGGGGACTATTAGCTTAATTTCAGCATTACTCCAAATTTACTGGAATATGTTTCTGTCATCATTTCATTTATGTTGAAAAGAATGTTGCTTTTCTTGCGGATACGATATTCTGTGGTGTGTCACTGCAATATTTACTGCTAAATATTTCGATCGAGACAAAGCTTGAGAACAATTTCTTGCCGATACGCATGCACTCATAGCCTGACAAGATAAATAGTTTTATCAACTATTGAGTTGAGTGTTTAAGCTCGACAGCATGTTCTTTGACTTCCAGACCAGACGCCCACTCCAACCCGATTCTTGAAGAACTGTGAAGAGGTCGGACTGTTCAGTGACCTGGACTGCTCCATTGAGCAGGACTTCTGCAAAGCGCAAGAAGAAGAAGACAGTAAGCAGGTACTGCAAAACAGAGGAGAAAGCCTCAGACCGAAAACCCAGAAAAACCCAAAGCCACAACCCTCCACAGGGGTTGAATTTTAAACCACTATCTGTGCAATCATCTGTCACAAATAGATGCCTACACCATGCGAGCTGATAAAGCCTCTCAAATAGATTTCAAAAAACACCCTAAACCTCACCTAACCACACTGCTCCCTTTTAAGAAGCCGATGACCACACATGTTTATGCACTATATTATTCCGTCCTCTATTCTCACCTTATTATTTCAAGTACTTTTTAGTCAGTCGTGACAGACGAGGTCTAACAGATAAAGATTTGTCATCCACCTCAGATGAGGAGAACTCAGATCAGGTTCTCCACCTGTAACTTTGAGCAGCTTCTCAGTCGCCTCTCACGGGAGGTAGTCATATTTCTTCCAAGAAATAAAGTCAGACCACTGAGGCAACATCTTGGCTGTACCAACAAAACCAGACAAACTGGCCTGACTGTCCTGCATGAAATCAGAGGTCCAAAATGTTATATTCATCAGAGGACATCTTCGTTTACGCTGCAATGTTGCACCTTCACCTGGGACATGGATACTCGTCAAATCAGCAGAAGACAGACTGCTTATTTAACGTCTGGGAACATGTGCGGAGCATGCTGCAGCTAAGCTGTTTTCTGAGAGTTTGGCTCAGGAGCCTGTCTGTGTTCAGGTCAGCCATGTCTAGCCTGCCCAGCCTTTGTGGTTTATGACGGGAGGCTCTGCTAAGTCAGCAGGAGGCGAGTCGGAGCAAGACGATGTAGGAGTAAAATGCACAATAGGCAGAGATAAGCAGCGAAAGCTCTCAAACACCTGAAACACTGAAAAAAATGAAAAAGCAAAGACAGTCACATGAGTATGTGTTGTGCAACAGTGCATTTTGGTTAAGCGAGTGATTTTATTGTGTTTTTGTTTTATAACTTTACTCTTCTTCTAGTGTTTTAATATTTAAATGCCAGTTGTTTGTTTATGCGTTTCACTAAAACTAAGGGACAGCTTTTGGCTTTTTGTTTGGTTCAATGATTAAATTAAACTGGATCTATAGTGCCACTCAGATGTTTAAATATATTTATTAATAACATAAACATCATTGTGTCATTGACAGATCACTGTGGGTCTTTAACTTTGTTTTAATGTTTCTTTTTCTGAGGTGGTATAGAACTACGATTGTCATGATTTAAAGCAACGTCTATCAATTTTTCAAACAAGAACTGATTGAAAATTTATTTTAAGGAGTTTCACTCTGATCCAAACAAACCGAAAGTTTCACATAAATGCTCATGTTTCGTTAAATGCCCCTTAGCAAGCTGTGGGAAAACCACATCGTTTTCGTAGTTATGAACAAGCTTCTGACGTGATTCTGTCAGGATATTGCTCATCTTGATTTCATGTAAGTCTGTTGAATTCCAGGAGCTGATCTAATTTTTAGGCATAACCCATAAAGTTTTGATAGGGTTGAAATCTGCAACATTCAAAAGTTTAATGTGACAGATCTGTGATACTTTGACAACCAGGTGTTAGCAGAAGGATGAAGACTGCAAACACACTTTATAAATTACTTTGGAAGGATAAACGGCTTCTAAACAAAATGACCCTGACCTCAAACTTGGTGAAAACAGATTAGGCTTAAACAGCAGGTCCATGCTAGGACACAATTTATTTGCTTTTGCCAGGGAGGTCATGCAAGGCTAAGCCTTGCTAATGGCTCCAAAAAGTTTCTCTGCAACTTTCTAAGAATGGTTCAAATTTAAAAGCCAAAACTTAAAGTGACGTTTGTGCCAGTGATGCAAGTACTTAACATTCCAAAACTTTATGAACCCATTGAAGGGACCACCACATGAGAAAAAAACACACACCATATAAGATGTAAAATGTTGTTAACCCAGAATTATTTTGCAATGGCTGTTATTACACATGACTGAGCCTACAGAGAGTTTCCAAGGAACCTGGTCTTCATTAGACTGTCAGCGTGTCCCAAATGGAACGTGGAAAACCTTGTAGAGCATAGTTTACATAATTCTCCGTTACAGCTTAAAGATGGGTGTGTGAGGAGGAAAAGTGAAATGGTTGCAAATCTGCACCCTTGTGCTTCAAATTCATTCTTAACACAAAGCACACTTTGCTTTTTTCTCTCTCGCTTCCTCTTCGCAGAACATCGCACTGCATGGGCAAGCAGGTCAAGGTCAGCACCAGCAGTCCCACGCACGGATGGCCAACCATGATACCAGCATAGTGATCCAGCAGGCCCTTCCTTCTCCCCAGTCCAGCTCAGTTATCACTCAGGCTCCCTCCACCAACAGACAGATAGGGTGAGTGAAACACAAAACCCAAAAAACAAAAAAAAAACAAAACAAAACAAAAAACAAATCCAGGAAGAAATTAGCACGAATAACAGCAAGTAGTCAGACTCTACATTTAGTCTCTTTGTCTTTCTTTTTTTGTTGTTGCTACATTTATGTGAAGCATGTTTTACTACAACAGACAAGGGCATAGGGAGAAAGTTTGCCATGAAACAAATTATCTAACAAGTGGCAGATTGTATCCTCTCACCTCAAGTGTGGCCCTGTTTAGTGACAGCTTTAGGCTGAGCCTCGTCCTTTGTGTTCGTGCCAGCTGTCATCCCTCTGTCGTCTGTGAGGTAATGTTAGTGTTTAGTTACATTTCGGGCGCTGTATGTGGGGCCAGAAAATCGTGTTTTACTGTTCATTCGAGGTTGTCTCAGAGCAGAGCATGCCAAAGGTCTCAGAGGATTAGATGAGGTTATTTCTCAAGCCTCAGTCATGAGTGTCTTTATAAGAGTTTAGCATTTCAAGTTTGAAAATATAGTTGTTTTTTTATATGTGTGAGAATTTCGGTTACCATCACACAAGTGAAAATGGGAAGGGTAGCTTTAAAGTAAATCATAATTAATTGAGGATTTACTGTGCAGCTTGTTGTTCTGAATACAGGATAATCTTTGTGTAGGTATAATCTGACCCCGTAAAAATGTTTGCCACATTTTCCCCGTCTTTTTGACAATACATCACAAAGGTATTCATACCCCTAGATGTTTTCCCCATCTTGTCCAACGAGTGAGGAATCTCAGTCTTAACTGTGACTGAGCCATTCTAGCAGATGAATATCTCATGCATATGGTTTTGCAGCCTCTAACTGATTTCCGTCCGGTTTCGCCTTTTATTTAGCTGCGCTCCTGAATTGTGGATCTACGTAGTTCCTCCAGTACTAACATGTGTCTCTTGGCTGTTAATGACTGAAAGCTCTCCTTGTGTGGCCTGTAAACACAGTAAAATGCCATGTCGAATCATGGCATTTGCTTTTTCATTGTCTAAATTTTGGGTCAAGCAGTATTCTTTGAAATGGGCACACCTGGGGGTTTTGTTTTATCACCTAATCCTGCTTCCATCTTCATACATTTGCCCTTTGACAACCATTAACTGTCCTACTTCAGTCCTTATGCTTTAGGTCCAGCTGCATTGACACTTTTGCCATAGCTTTGTCATTGTAACCCCAGGCCTGTGGCTGCCTAGTTAAACATTGAGATGGCTCAGTGTTAAGCTGGTCCTGTGTTCAAGTTGTCCTGTGTAGATTTACAGCTCGAGGAGCTGCTGAATATTGGATGGGAGGCCCATCTCTAAGCCTGACTGACACCTCGTCAGGCTCTTTGTTGAGCACAGAGATGGAATTTCATCCCCTCAGAGGAGCAGCAAATCACTGCCAGTAACAGAGACCGTGCTAGGCGCTGCTTCACCTGAGTTCACCTGTCAGTATGAACTCCGTACCTCTCTGATGCACAATTTCTCTACTTGTCATCACAGCCTGCACTTACCACAACATCTTAAACAATTTGGTGAGGAAATTTGTACTTGTTAAATGATGCCACACCTTTGCTCTAGGAGCAGGAGAGGACAACCAAAAAAAAAAAAAATCACTTATTCTGTGACATATTTTTGAGAAGAACTTGCTCCTCATCCATGTGATGAATCTGTGGAAGTGCAGTTTGTTTACAGTGACTAATGAATCCTGACACATGAATAGGAAGAGCAGACCTACACAGGAGAAAAGCGAGCTGGAAAGTTTCACATCAGCAGGATGTAAATCAGTGCTTCCACAGGAAGACATTAGGACTTAGCGAAGTCTTTGTGCACAGGATCTCTTTACAAGGACACCCAACATAAAAAACGGTGCTTTGCAAAAACTGAAACAGTTATACCAGCAGTGATTCCCTTTGATGAGCTTAAATATCCAAGTTATCCAGTGCAATGCAAAATGAATGACTTTTGCTCTGATTTTTTTTATTGATTTTGCTAAAATTTAAAAAAGCTTTTTCATTATTAACCAAAGTATTTTTTTAAACTGTGCAGTCGCCCTCGTCAACAATGATGAGGTATATCCATACCTCTGTCACAAAGCTTTAAATACTGTTACACTTTAAGCAGCTGTTTGTTCCTGAATGAGACAAATGATATAAATTTAATCTCACTTCACTCCACTTCCTCATTTTGCTGCATACAGAATAAGCATCTAATGAATTAGGATAACAAGTCATTTTCAGTGCTTCACAGTGTTTACTAAAGAGCTTTGAGGCTTGGAATCAATTAGGATTGGTTTTCCTCAAGACCATTTAATTCAGGACTGAGTCGAGCCTGCAGCTGTGAAACCCGAGGACTGCCCTCTTTCTCTTTTTCTCTCCTTTCCTCTGCTCCGAGTCCTCAAGCCAGGTCTTTGGGGACCTTCGTTGACACAAAACAGTGTTAAAACCAGGCATAAGAAACAGCCAGCAGATCCCAATGTCGTAGCTCGTGTCAGTTCATACGGAAGGCCCTGAATGCCCTCTGCCTTTCTGATCACACACAGCTGGTGCTGAGCAATGTCCCAGTTAACCATGTTGGACACTCCTGGACAACCACCTGAGATACAGAGTTTTGTGGAAATTGCAACCCTTTGACTTACAATAGGTGGAGATCTCAGCAGAGATGGGTGTGGGCACAAACTATTAAATGTGACATTTTTCCTGTTTTTTTTTGTTTTTTGTTTTTTTTGGCTCAACGGAATAATTTAGTCCAGTTGTTTGTTTCCATTGCACATTACAGTCAAGATGAACACAGCCGCTTTAATTAAAAAATTGCCATCCACATGCGGGAAACTATCAGTTATTCAGGCAATATTTAAAGACATCTTTAAATATTTTTTGCAGTGTGTTTCCTTTTAATGCTTTTCTATTACATAAAACTAAATATGTCAATTATGTAGATTAAGACTTTAGATGACCAAGCGTCATTTATATTTTAAATATTTTATTTGGATTTTATTAGACAGACCAGCACAAAGAAGGACGTTATTATAAAGTGGAAATGATGCACGGTTTCTGAGTTTTCTTTAATTGAAATTTCAAAAATTCATGTGAGAAATAACTGCATGTAGCAAAAGGTTCTCTGGACAGACGACACTCAAACAAAACTTAAGAACATGAGTGATGTTAGCAGCGTCATGCCACCATCGGTTGGTCTTGGTCAATACATGGCAAAAAGGCAGTAAAATCTGCCAGAAAATGCAAAAGACTTGAACTTGTTTGAATTGTAGGGTTTTCGTAGTATGTGAAAATGAATGCAATTTCAACTCCGCGATGCAGGAGTTGAAATTTAATGTTCACAGATACTCTGGATTAGCTTGAGGTATTTTCTAAAGATTGGACCTACACTTCAAAGCGATAGCCCAGAAAATTTGCAACTGTCATTGTTGTAGAAAATTGTTTTGCAAAATGTTGCCTCAGAGGTTTTCTGTATAAATAAATGCCACACTTTTCTGATTTTCTTCCATTTTACAATTAGCCCCCAGTTTTGTGTTGGTCTTATAAAATGCTGATTAAAAACAGTAAGCTTGTTTGCTAAATTAGATATAATACAAATGAAGATGCCTGAATAGTTTTGCAAGGCTCTGTTGGTTAGTGGGTGCTGAACTCTGTACAGTATGAGCAAGTGATTCATCATTTACCATCAGTGTGAAATTACAAGCTGCAACCCTCCAACCACTGAATTAATATGTCATTCAGCTTTGGTTTGTGACCATCTAACCAGAATAGGTTTTGAAGATTTTGTCTAGTATTTTTATTCAAATTGCATAGTTGCATTAGATTTGCAGAAATTTGCAAATCTAAAAATTATACCATCCACCATGCTTATTTAAAGTTTGCCTCCTCTCTGCAGACAACCATTGAGCTTTCTTTTAGATGTCACATTTATAGCTTCGCTTGCATTATTGGTGATGTTCCACCCTGGGTGCATTGCATGCACCATGTCGAGCTTTGTAGGAAGTCATATTGTGGCTTTGTTTCCCATGCTGCTTTAAATGCACATCATTTTTCACACCTCGGTCGCCCAGCTACTTGTGGTCCTTCTTTTTGCCTTTCAGGGAAGTAGCACAAATACATGCTCATCTTCATGCGAAGGCCTGGGTGATAAATAGGTTCGCTGTAAGCCCTTTGCAGAGAAACTTGGTGGTTCGCCGACTGATTATTTAGGACCATGGTTTGCTGTTGATTAGTGACGTCTGTCAAGTGTGTGATTTATACAAGAAAGGTTTGGATGGGACTTTTTTTTTATATATAGTGATTAAGCTTGTGCTGTTTCTATGGTTATTTAAATGAAAGATTCTTTATGGAGTTGATACTTTTGTTGATTTTTTTTTTCTTGTACTAAATATTAGTTTGTGTTTCTACATGCATACAAATAAACTTCATCGCTTCACCTATGCAAATACAACAGCAGGTAAAAAGAAATACTTCTCATAGAGAAAACTTTGACTTTATGGTGTTCATCATTCAAACTAAACCATTCCATTCTTGTTTTTGATTAGATATGTTTCACAAAATTGTGTTAAGGAAGAAGGCCCATCCTTTGTGAAAGCTTAGGGTCTTCACAAAATCTTTACATCTAAAATGCGGGCTCCATTTGCACATTGGATATAAAGTGCAGTTTTCATCAAGTAGTAGACAGACAGATGTATCTAGGGTAATAAATTGCAAAAATTAAAAGGCAGCGAGAAAGCAGGATGTACATCTGACCTGAATTAAGATGAGCTCATTGTGTACTTCAGCGGGTTTAATAGTGCGTTTGTAGAGGAACGCCCAGACTCTGTTCCCCTCTCATTCCAGCGGGCCTGTGTCATCTCTGCCCCGAGGCCACCACACATGCAGGCTCCTGCAAACGCAACTCACACATAGGGATGTGCCTTGCTTCTCCCGGGGTGAGCGGAGGGATCGCAGCGTGGGGAAATGAGGAAAACGGGGGATCAGAGGTGGACAGGGAAGAGG